CGACGAGGGGGGAGATGGGTGCTTTTTCTTTTTAATGCCGCTGCGGGATTCGACAGGACGTCCACCGCTCGTGCGCAGGGGCCAGGCGGCTACCCGGCGATGGGGCGAGCGGCTCGCGATTGGAACGTAGCGAGTTCATGTCCTGCTTTGGGGGTTGACGCGGCCCATCATCTCTCCTGCAAAGGTCGATAGAATGAGTGCCACTGTGCGGGGAAGTCAACAGTGGTTGTCCTGAGGATACGCTCGCCCCTGCCACGACTGTCGTGCGGAATTTTCATACCCTGGCTCAGCTGCAAGCAGGAGATGAGCACCACCGCAATGTTCATTTGAGCAGCAGGAGATCACTTTGAATTTTGATTGCGAGCGATGGCGATCGTTTGGGAAGGCCTTCAAAAAGAAGTGGATGGTACATGGCAGAAGATGATGATGATGATGTGAGAAGCAAAATCTATTCTGGAGGTTGTTGAGTGTTATTGCCCTGGCTCTAAAATAATCACCGTAGCAATGGAGGGGACCCGTGTTAAGGACTATTTTGTTTCAACCACACTGTGTTCGACCACTACACTTGCACATCACAACAATGCTCTCTCACCCACTGACTCACCCACCACCTCACCTCTCTTTCTGCCTCTTCTGTCAACCACTCCACTTTGTAATTCTCTCCCATCGTCTCTTGTCCCCCAAGCACTTACAATAACCTTGCTCAGTTCAAGAAACATGCTGAGGCTCTTATCTATTACAACTTTGGGCCTGTGCTGAGCAACGGCGTTTCAAGTAAATAAGTAACAGTGTTGACTGTAACTCGGAACTAGTCACTCAACATGTATGCATGTATGTTGAACTTAATGTTGAACAGATCAGCACAGCAATTAATTATTGCATTTCTCCAGAGAAAAATGACAAAAATATACACCCACACAGACTAAAGACAAAGATCCGCTGTGTAGCCTACACAGGCTATTGTGGAAAGTGTTGTGAGAGCACCAATGAAGGCCAACATGGCACACATGCTGTGGTCAGCAACACGCCCGGCCGTCTTTGTCTTCCTAGTGCTGGTGCTTATACACCGCACCAGGTACTGATGTTGGTCGTGTGTGGGAATCGAACTCACGTAGCCGGGTTCGTAGCGCTCCCCACTCACACAATCAGTCACACACTCACTCACACACTCAATCACACACGCACTCATACACTCAATGACATGCGCACATACTCGCACTCAATCACAGACGCACACATTCATACACTCACTCTCACAAACAAAGATCAAAAAACAAAGATCCCCCATATAGCCTTAACAGACTGTAGGGGCAAGTGCTGTTAGCGAGCACCTATGAAGGCCGGAACGGTACACGAGGGGGTGGGTGGGCCAGCACCACGCCCGACCGCCTTTGTCTCCCCAGTGGCAATGTTTACACACCGCACCAGGTACTCATTTGAGGCTGAGTCGACCTAGGGAAAGCCCGGGACAGGTTCAGATAATCGTCACTATTGTTGGCTGTGAGCGGGAATTGAACTTGGGTCTATGTGTTCGTAGCGCAGCATGTTAACCGCTACACTACCGCTCCCCACATACCAACACGTTACAAAGAGAAAGATTCCCCGTATAGCCTTAACAGACTGTAGGAGCAAGTGCTGTTAGCGAGTACCTGTGAAGGCCAGACCGGCACACGAGGGGGTGGGTGGCAAGCACCACGTCCGGCCGCCTTTGTCTCCCCAGTGGCGATGCTTACACATCGCACCAGGTACTCATTTGAGGCTGTACATACACAATTAAAAATGTATGTATTTTGAACTTCGTTTGTACTGTACGTAGCCAACCGTGCTAATCAGAGATGTGGGATAAGGACAACAACACGGGGAAAGACAACAAGCATTAGGTTAGGGTCAAGGCTGTAGGATTGAGGTGGCTGGCTATTGGTGCGTTGCATATTATGGGTCAGGGCTATATGGTTAAGGCTGTAGGGTTGACGTGGCTATATGTGCGTTACATGTTAGGTACACACACAGGAACGCATACCGACACAGCAACACATGTTTAAACATCAATACCATTCCAGAATCTCACTCAGATCTGGAAGAACGCTGACGAACAATGCAGTCGTCCAGAATAAACACGTCATTTGAGACCCAAACATCGCAACCACCTGGCGTTGACATTCCTCCTCAAACACACCCGCATCAGAACATCAACAGGCCGCTGAATGTCAAAATTCAAGACATTGGGGCCACACAATCAGAACTGTGGATCACACAGATGCATGAGAGATAAGCCAGAGTGGTGCGCGAATGGGTCCATGCGACCCAAACTGTGGACGATATTACTAAACCCACCATAGTCTGTGCACTCCTTCAACAGAAGAGGAGCGGCGAATCGACACAAACTCTCTCGTGGCCAGCAGACCTCGACATCGTCATCTGTAGCTCCTGAACAAATTGCTGCCTTACGCAAGAGAACACCACAGATCACCCACGTAGCTGATGGGGCAAGTGCTGCTATTACGAGCACCCCGATTATGGCCTAAATGGCACACGCGCAAGGGTGCGATGTGACCCCCCCCTCCGACCGCCTTTGTCTCCCCAGCGCTGATATGCGCACCAAGACCAATACCCGTCATTCGCAACTAAGTGATGGTGACGTCACCACGGCTCCTGTGCCAGGCCAGGTGCACGTTGAGGCCACTTGAAGAGTTGAAGGCTCGCTGACATATGCATACTGACACGTGCACACACAAACACACAATGAAAGTTACACAAACAACCCAGTTTTCCCAAAAAACTGAGTAATACACATCCATAGACTAAAGACTCATCGATTTCCATAGCCATCCATGTGCTAAACTTAAGAGACCAATAGATTCAGAGACCCAAATGCTTAAACAGCTAACCAAACAAATACCCACAGATATACTCACGTTGATATATACTCATATATTATATATCCCTATACTGTACTCAAATAGACCAATAGTCTTTCACAGAGTCAGACTTACACAAAGACCCAGTTATCATATAAGATGCCCATTTGAGACTCACACACAGAGACCCACAGACTTACAAGATATGCATAGGCTCACATACAGGCCCGTAGACTCGCATGCAATACAATGTGGAATGATTTCGCGTCTAAATGTGACGACAGTACACATCTTGAAGACGCTGGGCAGAAGCAGTGCGGACAGCTCTTATGTGGAACGATGCGGTCAACACAGCATATGGGGGGGACAGCTCTTATGTGGAACGATGCAGTCAACACAGCATATGGGGGTCTGTGCAAGAGTCGATCATTCACAGAGGCTGGCTCTGTTTGTGGAGCAGAAGACGCAGCCATGGTCAGCTGCTGCCGCCGAATTCTAAACTAAACACATTTTGGATTTAAAGCTTTCGTGACTGCAGGGATTCATATTCTTGGTTCTTTTGGTAAAGTCACGGAGAAGGGAAATAATAAAATAATAAAAATATAAAACAATACAATTCTCACGACGTTTCGACTGCAACACAAGCAATCATCATCATCAGGTGTGAAATCCACAGCAAAGAAAATTTGAAAAAAGTAAAAGAAATTGAAGTGCTGTGGATTTCACACCTGATGACGATTGCTTGTGTTGCAGTCGAAACGTCGTGAGAATTTTATTGTTTAATATATTTTTTATTTTATTATTTCCCTTCTACGTGACTTTACCGAAAGAACCAATAATATAAACACATTTTTTAAAAAAATGTTTACCAAGTAAGAAGGCCCACTGAGCTATATTGCTCTTTTTTTCAGACGCGACCTTGGCCATCACAAATGATGGGCTCAACGAAGCGACTTATCATCTTGCGGGAATTTATAGCAGCCAAATACCCTAAACGCCGTGACGTTCATTCTAAATGTGGACGGGCAATACTGGAGGACGCGCAGAAAAGAAATCCACGCGACCACGGGGACAGAACTCGAGACACGCAAACTCCAAATAAAGACTTGATTCCTTGAAAAAGGTTTCTAATTGCCGCTTGAACATCTTATTGGCAGGAAGGGTCAACACCTATTCTTATTTTCTCATTCAAATATCAAGGGTGGCACAGTCGGCTTTTTTACAATCGGGTTTGTATTTTTATATGAAACCCGATCATCTGAGATTGGGAGAAATCCGGTTTAATTGGTTCTAATTGCAGAACCGCACTTCTCAACGATGGGCTTCATCCATTCCAAGCTCAGGAACTCACTGGCGCCCACGATTGTGGAGGAGAAGCTCGTGTTCATCAAGACCAACCTGCCCGCCGCATTCTACGACTACCCCGTGCCCGACAGCAGCACCGACGAGGAAGCAGCCTAAGCCTTGGATCAGAGTTTCGTATTCATCAAACCAGGTTTTAATTCCCCGAAATCGGGTTTAATTGTATTAAAGAAAAAACCCGATGCCTGCCGCTGGAAAAATCGGTGTTTTTTCCCACCCATGTCACATACACAGCAGGCGTCACAGGGTCGGGGGATGGAACCCACGACCTCCTTTGCTGTATACCTGGCGAGGGAGTCAACATTTCGCCACCCCCTTCCACCCCACTCTCATTTCATCCAGACAACACGGAGCATCGCAGGCATGGCAGACGTCTCTCATCCAGCAGTGGATTTTGACCACGGCTGCCCGCGGGGAGGGGGGGGGGCGATGACGTCACCCCCCCCCCCACTGTGACGTCATCGCGCGTCCCCCCAAATGCCTCTTCGAAGTCTTCTCAGCACTTCCCCCCCACGACACCGACCCACGTTCCTCCGCGGGTCGATAAAGCAAGGCGCAGATTTAAGAATAAAGCAGCCACGACACGAAGAGAAGGACGAGGGGAAAGGGGACCGGCACGCCGCCTCATCATCATCATCCTCCTCGTAGAGTCACGTGGCCTCAAAGTGCACCTCGCCTGGCACAACACGAGCCGTGACGTTGCCGCTACTTGGGGTGGTTCATGGCGGGTGTTGTTGTTGTTGTGGTGTTGTTGTTGTTGTGTTTGCGTGTGAGGCTCACCTCCTGCTCCGACTCGCTCCTGAAGCACAAGCACGCGGCTCTCTTCCTGTAGCCGTCCCCGTCGAACGTCCGCGTCTGGTTGGGCTTGTATTTCATGGTCGGCGGCGAATTTAGCAGCAGCAGCAGCAACAACAACCACCACCACCCACACAACCCACCCTCTGCTCTCGTTAATTAACGAAGCGAATTAGCGTGGGTGCCCGTACGGCACCACCACCACCACCACCCTCTTCTCTCTCTCTCTCTCTTCAGCCTTTCGCCCGCCCCTGAGCCGCCCGCGAGCCTCCGAAGCGAAGCATCATAATGATAACGACGACGACGATGATGATGATGATGATGACGACGACGATGATGACAGCGAACGAGCTTAAATTAATCGACGGAATGCGACGACGGCGGGAGATGGAAGCCCGAGGCGGCGGCGTTTGCGAGCGCACACGGGGTCGGCGAGGTTCGTCTGGCGTGGGCTGTTGTACAGACACCGCTACCTCGACCACCACCTCGACCACCACCTCCGCCGCCTCCTCCTCAGCTCCCCGAGGCGCTCAGCTGCCCTAGGAGGGTCGACTCAGCGTGCGCGTGGTGGTGGTGGAGGGGGGCGTGGTCACGATGGGACACCACGTGACGCGCGCGAGGCCAATCAGGACGCGTACGTGCCAAAGGGGTGGGGGGGGGGACGCGGCGACGGGTGACGTCACGCGCGCAACGAGGGGCCGTTGTGCGCGATGACGTCACTGCGCCTTGGTTGAGAAGCGCGCGTGACATCATGGAGGCTTGGATGAAGCGCGTGACGTCATCGAGACGTCAATTTGCGTCGGGGGGTTGGATGATGTAACGGGCGGCGGTGCAGCGCGGGGACGTCAAAATGGCACGGCAGTGTATCGTGCGGGGTGACGTCACGGCGCACGGCGGTGTAGCGTGCGAGGTGACGTCATTTATGCGTAGATTTGTGCGCGGTGACGTCACGACCCAAGGGGGTGGAGCGTGCGTGGCGTTGACGCTGCTCGTTGTTGTTGTGATGTTGTTGTTGTTGTGCTGTTGTTGTTGTCAAAGTCACGGCAGAGATTATAGCACGGCTGGCTACGTACGGTGGGTGGGTGGGGAGGGGTGGGTGGGGGAGGGGTGGGTGGGGTGGGGGAGGGGTGGGGGGGGGGAGGGGTGGGTGGGGGAGGGGTGGGTGGGGGAGGGGTGGGTGGGGGAGGGGTGGGGAGGGGTGGGTGGGGGAGGGGTGGGGAGGGGTGGGTGGGGGAGGGGTGGGGAGGGGTGGGGAGGGGTGGGTGGGGGAGGGATGGGGAGGGGTGGGTGGGTGGAGGGGTGGGGAGGGGTGGGTGGGGAGGGGTGGGGAGGGGTGGGTGGGGGAGGGGGGGGAGGGGTGGGTGGGGGAGGGGTGGGTGGGGGAGGGGTGGGGGGGGTGGGTGGGGGAGGGGTGGGGGAGGGGGTGGGGGGAGGGGTGGGGGGAGGGGTGGGGGAGGGGTGGGTGGGGGAGGGTGGTGGGGAGGGTGGAGTGGGTGGGGGAGGGGTGGGGTGGGGGAGGGGTGGGTGGGGGGGGGTGGGTGGGGGGGACGGGGTGGGTGGGTGGGGGAGGGGTGGGTGGGGTGGGGGAGGGGTGGGGGGGGGAGGGGTGGGTGGGGGGGGGGGGAGGGGTGGGTGGGGGGGGGAGGGTGGGGTGGGGGGGGAGGGGTGGGTGGGTGGGGGAGGGGTGGGGTGGGGGAGGGGGGGTGGGGAGGGGTGGGTGGGGGAGGGGTGGGTGGGGGAGGGGTGGGTGGGGGGAGGGGTGGGGAGGGGTGGGTGGGGGGAGGGGTGGGGAGGGGTGGGTGGGGGAGGGGTGGGGAGGGTGGGTGGGGGGGGTGGGGAGGGGTGGGGAGGGGTGGGTGGGGGAGGGATGGGGAGGGGTGGGTGGGGGAGGGATGGGGAGGGGTGGGTGGGGGAGGGGTGGGGAGGGGTGGGTGGGGGAGGGGTGGGGAGGGGTGGGTGGGGAGGGGTGTGGGGAGGGGTGGGTGGGAGGGGTGGGGAGGGTGGGGGAGGGGTGGGTGGGGGAGGGTGGGTGGGGGAGGGGTGGGGGGAGGGGTGGGGGGAGGGGTGGGTGGGGAGGGGTGGGTGGGGGAGGGGTGGGTGGGGGAGGGGTGGGTGGGGGAGGGGTGGTGGGGGAGGGGTGGGGGGGTGGGGTGGGTGGGGAGGGGTGGGTGGGGGTGGGTGGAAGAGGGGTGGGTGGGGGTGGGTGGAAGAGGGGTGGGTGGGGGTGGGTGGGGGAGGGGTGGGTGGGGGTGGGTGGGGGAGGGGGTGGGTGGGGTGGGGGGGGTGGGGGGTGGGTGGGGGAGGGGTGGGTGGGGTGGGGTGGGTGGGGGTGGGTGGGGGAGGGGTGGGTGGGGGTGGGTGGGGGTGGGGGGGGAGGGGTGGGTGGGGTGGGTGGGGGGGAGGGGTGGGTGGGGTGGGTGGGGGGGGAGGGGTGGTGGGGGTGGGTGGGGGAGGGGTGGGTGGGGGTGGGTGGGGGAGGGGGGTGGGGTGGGGGTGGGTGGGGGAGGGGTGGGTGGGGGAGGGGTGGGTGGGGGTGGGTGGGGGTGGGTGGGGGGTGGGTGGGGTGGGTGGGGGGTGGGTGGGTGGGGGGTGGGTGGGGGGTGGGTGGGTGGGGGGTGGGTGGGGGTGGGTGGGTGGGGGGTGGGTGGGGGGGGGGTGGGTGGGTGGGGGTGGGTGGGGGGGGGGTGGGTGGGTGGGGGGTGGGTGGGGGGGGGGTGGGTGGGTGGGGGGTGGGTGGGGGAGGGGTGGGTGGGGGAGGGGTGGGTGGGGGAGGGGTGGGTGGGGGAGGGGTGGGGAGGGGTGGGTGGGGGAGGGGTGGGGAGGGGTGGGTGGGGGAGGGGTGGGGAGGGGTGGGTGGGGGAGGGGTGGGGAGGGGTGGAGGGGTGGGAGGGGTGGGTGGGGGAGGGGTGGGGAGGGGTGGGTGGGGGAGGGGTGGGGAGGGGTGGGTGGGGGAGGGGTGGGGAGGGGTGGGTGGGGGAGGGGTGGGGAGGGGTGGGTGGGGGAGGGGTGGGGAGGGGTGGGTGGGGGAGGGGGTGGGGAGGGGTGGGGGAGGGGTGGGTGGGGGAGGGGTGGGTGGGGGGAGGGGTGGGTGGGGGAGGGGGTGGGGGAGGGGTGGGTGGGGGAGGGGTGGGTGGGGGGTGGGTGGGGGAGGGGTGGGTGGGGGGTGGGTGGGGGAGGGGTGGGTGGGGGGTGGGTGGGGGAGGGGTGGGTGGGGGAGGGTGGGTGGGGGAGGGGTGGGGGAGGGGTGGGGAGGAGGGTGGGTGGGGGAGGGGTGGGTGGGGGAGGGGAGGGGTGGGTGGGTGGGGGAGGGGAGGGGTGGGTGGGGTGGGGGAGGGGAGGGGTGGGTGGGGGTGGGGTGGGGGAGGGGAGGGGTGGGTGGGGGAGGGGTGGGGGAGGGGTGGGGGGAGGGGTGGGGAGGGGTGGGGAGGGGTGGGGGGTGGGGAGGGGTGGGGAGGGGTGGGGAGGGTGGGTGGGGAGGGGTGGGGAGGGGTGGGTGGGGAGGGATGGGGAGGGGTGGGTGGGGAGGGATGGGGAGGGGTGGGTGGGGGAGGGGTGGGGAGGGGTGGGTGGGGGAGGGGTGGGGAGGGGTGGGGGAGGGGTGGGTGGGGGAGGGGTGGGTGGGGAGGGGTGGGGGAGGGGTGGGTGGGGGAGGGGTGGGGGAGGGGTGGGTGGGGGAGGGGTGGGGGAGGGGTGGGTGGGGGAGGGGTGGGGGAGGGGTGGGTGGGGGAGGGGTGGGGGAGGGGTGGTGGGGGAGGGGTGGGGAGGGGTGGGGAGGGGTGGGGAGGGTGGGGGAGGGGGTGGGTGGGGGAGGGGTGGTGGGTGGGGGAGGGGTGGGTGGGGGAGGGGTGGGTGGGTGGGGGAGGGTGGGTGGGGGAGGGGTGGGTGGGTGGGGGAGGGGTGGGTGGGTGGGGAGGGGTGGGTGGGGTGGGGGAGGGGTGGGTGGGGGAGGGGTGGGGGGGGAGGGGTGGGTGGGGGGGGGAGGGGTGGGTGGGGTGGGGGAGGGGTGGGGTGGGGGGGGGTGGGGGAGGGGTGGGTGGGGGAGGGGTGGGTGGGGGGAGGGGTGGGTGGGGGAGGGGTGGGTGGGGGAGGGGTGGGGGAGGGGTGGGTGGGGGAGGGGTGGGGAGGGGTGGGTGGGGGAGGGGTGGGGAGGGGTGGGTGGGGGAGGGTGGGGAGGGGTGGGGAGGGGTGGGTGGGGGAGGGATGGGGAGGGGTGGGTGGGGGAGGGATGGGGAGGGGTGGGTGGGGGAGGGATGGGGAGGGGTGGGTGGGGGAGGGGTGGGGAGGGGTGGGTGGGGGAGGGGTGGGGAGGGGTGGGGGAGGGGTGGGTGGGGGAGGGGTGGGTGGGGAGGGTGGGGGAGGGGTGGGTGGGGGAGGGGTGGGGGAGGGGTGGGTGGGGGAGGGGTGGGGGAGGGGTGGGTGGGGAGGGGTGGGTGGGGGAGGGGGGTGGGGGAGGGGTGGGGGAGGGGTGGGTGGGGGTGGGTGGGGGAGGGGTGGGTGGGGGTGGGTGGGGGGAGGGGTGGGTGGGGGTGGGTGGGGGAGGGGTGGGTGGGGGGTGGGTGGGGGGGGAGGGGTGGGTGGGGGTGGGTGGGGGGGAGGGTGGGTGGGGGTGGGTGGGGAGGGTGGTGGGTGGGGGTGGGTGGGGGAGGGTGGGTGGGGGAGGGTGGGTGGGGTGGGTGGGGGTGGGTGGGGGTGGGTGGGTGGGGGGTGGGTGGGGGGTGGGTGGGTGGGGGGTGGGTGGGGGGTGGGTGGGTGGGGGGTGGGTGGGGGGGTGGGTGGGTGGGGGGGTGGGTGGGGGGTGGGTGGGGGGGGTGGGTGGGGGGGGTGGGGGAGGGGTGGGTGGGGGAGGGGTGGGGAGGGGTGGGTGGGGGAGGGGTGGGGAGGGGTGGGGGGGGAGGGGGGTGGGTGGGGGGAGGGGTGGGGAGGGGTGGGTGGGGGAGGGGTGGGGAGGGGTGGGTGGGGGAGGGGTGGGGAGGGGTGGGTGGGGGAGGGGTGGGGAGGGGTGGGTGGGGGAGGGGTGGGGAGGGGTGGGTGGGGGAGGGGTGGGTGGGGGAGGGGTGGGGGAGGGGTGGGTGGGGGAGGGGTGGGTGGGGGGTGGGTGGGGGAGGGTGGGTGGGGGTGGGTGGGGGAGGGGTGGGTGGGGGAGGGGGTGGGGGAGGGGTGGGTGGGGGAGGGGTGGGGGAGGGGTGGGGGAGGGGTGGGTGGGGGAGGGGTGGGTGGGGGAGGGGTGGGGAGGGGTGGGTGGGGGAGGGGAGGGGTGGGTGGGGTGGGGGAGGGGAGGGGTGGGTGGGGTGGGGGAGGGGAGGGGTGGGTGGGGGAGGGGTGGGGAGGGGTGGGGGAGGGGTGGGGAGGGGTGGGGAGGGGTGGGGAGGGGTGGGGAGGGTGGGGGTGGGGAGGTGGGGAGGGGTGGGGAGGTGGGGAGGGGTGGGGAGGGGTGGGGAGGGGTGGGGAGGGGTGGGGGGTGGGGAGGTGAGGGGTGTGGAGGGGAGGGGTGTGGAGGTGAGGGGTGTGGAGGTGAGGGGTGGGGAGGTGAGGGGTGGGGAGGGGTGGGAGGTGAGGGGTGGGGAGGGGTGGGGAGGTGAGGGGTG